TTCTTGAGACAGAGTCTCGCCCTGTTGCCCAAGCTGGAGTGCAGTGGTGTGATCTCGACTTACCGCAACATCTGCTTCCTGAGCTCCAGCGATCCTCCCACCTCAGCCTCCCGAGTTGCTGGGACCACAGGCACACACCACCACACTCGGCTAATGTTTTAAGGTTTTGTAGAGACGAGGTCTCACTATGTTGCCTAGGCTGATCTGAAACTCCTGGGCTCAGGGATCCTCCTGCCTTAGGCCTTTCAAAGTGATGGGATTACAGATGTCAGCAACTGCACCCAACCCAAAGACTACATTCTGAGATCATCTCTACCTGTTTATATTACACCTATTTTAGAGGCCCTTCCCTATAGTCCCTGCTCTCATTATCTGGGTCACCTTGTCGGTATTTTTTAGACTTGGTATGGGCCCAGTCATTTTAACTGTAGTTTCAGACCAACTTGCCTCTTCCTTTCTCTGTATCTCTTGCAGCTTTTCTCGGTCTGTCTTTGCTTGCCGCAAAGCCTAGTGATGGGAGCATGACAGATCATGTGCTGGGATTTCATGCTTTTTCTCTTTTTACTCACTACTAAAGATTTGGCATTATCCGTTTCTAAGTAACGATGAGGATGTGGCTTCTGTATAGATTTACATCATCTTCCTTTGTGATTGGTTTATATCCTTTTCACAGGAAACATTGGGAGGCAGGTGTCTGGGTGGTTAGACATTGCCTTCTGCTGACTTACAGCTGATTTTGGATGACATTTTATCTTATCTAAATGTATATGTGTGTGTGTGTACAAACACATACACACACACACACAAACACAGACATTTGTATGTACATACACGTCTATTTCTATTCTGATATAGTTCTCTCGAAGTGGCTGTTGGATTCACCATAGATTTGTTCAATGTGTATTTCATTCATTGCTATCCTTGGTGGCAGTCAAGAGACTGTGGAAATCTTTTCGGGATTTGTTAATGTTCCTCACCCTAAAGCAGGTTCATGAAGATGGACCAAAAGGTGCCAGCCACACTGCTAGAGCTTGCTGCATGGGGTCTGCTGAGTGAAGAGCCTGCAGCTATCCATGCTCTTGAGGAGCTCCCATGGGGCCTCTATGTTCCATTGTTTATCATTGCCTTCTCGGGAGGGCAGGAGATGAAACGGAAGGCCATGGTGAGGATTTGGCCTTCCCGTTGTCTCCGTGTTGGGCCACTGAGTGTACAGAGTCACACTACGAAATCTTGGGAGCCACGGCTGATGGTCTGCATATCTTCCCTGCCCAGAACTCTTCCTCTTGGTAACCCTATGTACGCTAGAGGCATAGTGAGTCATCAGGAGGGTATGCTGGAGCCTGAGGCAGGGGATAGCCTAACAGTCTCCTAAAGGTAGTTGACGGTGAATGCTGAGAATCTCTGTGACGTTGTTGGTCCAGCACTTCAGGTCACCTTAAGGACTCTAATGTCTTACAGAGGTGATTATGGAATAGAGGTGACTGAGAATGCTATTGATGGATTTACCTCCTGGGTATGATTACATAGAAGAACAACATGGGCATTGAGACTGGGGAGGATCAGAGGAGAAGGAAGGTTGGGGAAAATAATGAAAGATGTTGAGTTTGCATGGAAAAAAAAATTTGTTGGTAGATTGTACGTGGAGTGAAGAGCAAAGATAAAGGGTTTGTCCCTGCTTCTCCTCATTGATCTTGCCGGGTTAGATTAAAATCAGCTACCTTTCATGTTCTGTCTTCCTCTCTCTACAGGGGGCCAAAACGGAGGGTGCTAGGTTTAAGGCAGGACCCAGACATCAGAACCACATGCTCTTAGATCAGGAGCACATTTCCATTTTGTTTTCAGTCTTGTGTTTAATCTCAGCACTCTATCCTGAAAGGAGAAGAAGCCAAGCACAGTGTTAGGTGCCTGGAAATTGTACGTTTAGAGTCTGAGTCTCAGCCCAACCAAGGAATGCATGGGATTGTTAGTGGGCCTTTCCCTTGAGAAAGGACCTTTCCGCTGAGAAGAAGGCAGCTCTTTTCTTTCCTTTCGAGTAAAGTTGAGCAGAGCCTTGGGTCCTTGCACCTTTGCTGCAGAGATTTGCAAAATGATCAAGTGTCTGCCCATGAAAGCATCCTGCAGTTTCTGGAAATGGGACGCACTGATCACCTGGAAGGAGATCAGGCTTATTTGGGTGAAGTCAACATCCTTTTGGCACCGAGGATCCACCTGGACAGACTTAGTCTGTCTAAAATCACTTTAAAATCCTGTAAGCAGAGAAACTTCTCAACTTTTCTCACTCATCTTGAGCAGATGAACAACCTCCAGGAACTCAGCTTGTCTTTCTTCTGCCTCACTGATCGGCTGGACAAAATTTCCAGATGAGGGGCTGGGGAGGGACCTGCGTTCCCTGAATGCCCCATTATGAACAAAGGAGTGTGACTAGTCATAGATATTCTTAAAATACCTTGCAGGCTATTTCTCCTTCCACATCAGCACGGGCACTGCTGGGTGTTTGAAACTGGCCAAGCTAGAGAGTGTAGTCCCTCATGCTGAGGAGAAAGGATTAGGAAAGTCAGCTGTGCCCGGTCAGTCAGTCAGTCAGTCAGTCAACCATGTGCAGACACTAGGATGAAAAAGAAAACAGTCCTTCTTTTATTGGAGTTTATAGCCTTCTAGAGAAGAAGCAGAGGGGTTCAGTTGGAGAAATAACTTATGCTGTAGCACTGATGCAAATCCCCGTGTAGTGGTCACAATAGGTAATACTGCCACATCATTTTGTTCCTGTAGTTTTCCCGAGGCTTAGGACTTGAATGGAGAACTTGTCATTTGGAAATTCGTCAAAGGTAAGTCTCAGCCGGCTGCTTTCCCAGACCCATCCCCATCAAATAAGTGAACTAGGTACGCTGCTAATTATACTGTAGGCACTAAGTTAAATTCTTTTTCACTGAATCTTTCCCAGAATCCTGTATAATAATTGCTATTGTACACATTTGAAAGACTAAAAAACTGTATCTCAGAGTGGAAAAGTAACTTTCTTAGGGTCACAAATCTATTAAGTCTGACTCTAAAGCCCACAATGTTAACTGCTGTTACAATGGACATACAGATTACTTTATTCTAGAGTCATAAGCACCTATAATTCAGAACTGCTTGCTCTAGTCCAACCCTCATTCTTCAGAAATACCTTCCTTTCTTCCCTCTACAGAGTCCTGCTACCTCATTTGTATCCAGTGTATGTGTCTCTCTGTGGACTTTCTACCAGAGACATCACTGTCCTATCCCAGAGCTCTCAGGTTACCCACCTAAAACTGTTGAGTCTGAGTAACAATCAGATGCCCTGGGAAGTTTCTGGGCCATTCCTGGCTCTGCTGGAGAAGGTCTCAGGGACCCTGCAGCATCTGGAGATAGACAACTGCCTGATAACTGATTTTACTTTCTCTGTGGTCACCCCAGCCCTGAGCCACTGTTCCCACCTCTGTGTCCCTAGCTTTGTCTTCAACCCCATTACAATGCCGGTGCTCACAAGTCTTCTGCAGCGCTTAACAGCCTGGATGGAGCTGAAGTATGTGATTTATCCTGTTCCTGTCCATGGCTATAAACAATGGCGTTGTCGTGGCAGTTTGGACATAAAAGCTTGCTGAACTGCAGGCCCAATTGAAGGTGATGCTACAGGCAGTACAGCAGAACAACATGAACTAGGACACCCATCCTGAGTGATTTTCACGGGACAAGGAGCTGTTTCATCACTGACGTGTGGCCACTAAAACAGAATGTTCTTGCCTGAAGCCCAGTTTTTAAAGACACATAATGTAAAATTCTGCTATTCCAGGAACCTGGTGTTAGGAAGATTGGGTGTGTAACTGACCTCTATAAGAGAAAAGCCCTAAGAAGAAAACAGCAGACATTGAGAAGTGCTGTGGGTCTCTAGTCCATTGTCCTCTACATCCTCCATCTCGTTACTGACCACAGTGTTGGGTATGTGACGTGGGCTGACCCAGTCATGGCACACCATTTCCCCATCCACACTGATCGGTTCACTTATGGGTACTTGACACCAGTCAGGACAATTGAAACCTTTCCTGGATGTTTTTCTGGAGTAGGTGCTGGTTACTGAAGCCAATAATATTACTCACTGAATTCCTTTGATCTTCTTGTATTCACGATTGCCTCAGGCTGCTTATGAGAAACCGCTGGCAATTAAAATGATAAACAACAACAATAAACAAACTATGCCCACTACCTACTGGTGTCTTTATCAGTATATTGCTATCTCCGTTCCTGGGTCTCAGAAGCCTGGGGGCTCCTTTAGCCCTTATTTCACATAGATTCACCAAAGGTCTGTTATTAATCAGGTACTGTTCCTGGTGCTAAGAATGAATAGGCAAATAGGACCCTACACCAAGTCACTCACAGTACAGATTGTCCTATGATTTGTCTGTTTCCCCACTCTTTTCTTTGGAGATTTGGGAAAGCGATTTAACCCATCTATATGCCAGATTTATTTGTTTGTTTATTTGTTTGTGTGCTTTTTGCTTTGCCCCTTGCAGACTCTGCTCAATCCACATTGGCCTCTATCTGCTGTTGGATAGCTCATCAGGACTCAGGCCATAGCTTAAATGTTACCTACTCCAAGAGGTTTTCCTCTTACTTCCCTCTGCTTACTTACCCCACTTCTCTCCCCTTACTTTACCATACTTTTTTAATGTACCATGTACATTTTTTTAATGTACCATGTACATTTTCTTCAGGGTACACATCATTCCGTATGTATTTGCTCCCTCTGCTCTTCTCCTAGAGTTGCACTGTTCAGCATGGTAGACACTAGCCACGTGTGGCTACTGAGCACTAGAAATTTGACTACTACAAAATGTGATGTACGATTACTGTAAAACGCACACTGAATATTCAAGACTTTGTGAGAAACAAAAAAGGTAGAATAACGAATAACTTATTTGTATTGTTTACGTGATGAAATGATAAGACACTGCAGGTCAAACACATAGTAAAAAACAAAAAAAGAAGACACATACTAATGTGTTTTTACCGTTCACCATGTTGAAATGATAGCACTGCAGCAAAGACAATCACTCTCAGCATTCCTATTCCATACCTCCTTGGAAGACCCAACTGATACAATAAAGCAAAGGAAAGCACTAAAAGGCACACAGATTGGAAATGAAGTCATCAAAAAAGTGTCCCTATTTACTGACATGATGGCTATGTATAAAATTTCCAGGAATTTATGAAAAACTTCCTAGAACTAAGGAGCGAGTGTACCTAGGTTGCTGTGTATCAGGTTAATATTAAACATAGGTCAAGTGTATTTTTATATGCAGTCCTCCCTTTGCACAGTTGCACTATGCAGGAAGGTTATTTACCGTGATTTGGTTAAATAACACCAGTCCCTTCACAGCATGGGTCCAATTTCAGTTACCATGGTAAACTAACTCTCAGTGGTTCCATAAAGACCACACTTTGCTGCTGGCTTTTCAGTCCACAAATCCCTACTGAAATTACAGATGAGAATCATGATCAGTGGCCAGTCATGCCACTTCTTTCAAATTCTGTTTGTGTCACTCCACAAATCACTATTTAAATAATAGATGAGCATCAGGATCAGTGACCAGTCATGCCACTTTTCTTTTAAAATCTCACCGTGTTTGGTCACTGAGTATCTATTATTTATTTCATGCATCGACAGCCAAGAATGAAGCTGAGTTTCCACCTTGTCTCCCAGTGAACTACTCATGTGACATTTTGCCAAAGAATTGGATAGTTTAAAAAGGGAATTGGCCAAGAAAGAGAAAAGCAGGCAAGCAAATGACAAGAAATAATGCTGGAAGCAGAAATTGGAAAACGATTTTGATGGAAAGGATTAAGATATCCCAGTGAAAGTGACACTTGCAAAAAAGTTTACACTACAGGATTCCTTGGAGATATTCATGACATAGAAGGAACAAAGAATAAAATGATGGAAGCTGATCAACACTTAAAACTGAGAAACAAAATTTGCCAAGTCACGGGAAGAAAATATGTCTACTTCATATCACAATTAATAAGATGAGACGAAGGCAAGAACTGTTCATACTATTCCTTTTTTTTTTTTTTTCCATGAGAAATTCTGGATTTAGCTTTATTTGGAATGTCACCACCTTCTCCGATATAATATATGGTATAATTAAGTTTAGAATGTGAATGCTTTATTAATATTTGAAGATATTTTTATGTTTTGAGCACTTTTCTGAAAGAATAGCTTCTATTTTAGTGAATAGTAGTGGACAAAGCCAGAATTGATGTTTTCTGTAACATTTAACTGGTATTGGTAGAAGCAGTTAAATTCAAGTCCTTTGACTCTGGTTGCAAGGCTTTCTCTAAATTACTGTGACTTTGTAAAATATTCTTAATTTGAAATTTCTTGTTAATCCAATAGTCATATACACTGATCTTAAGTAAAATTTGTATGTGGCGGCCAGACACGGTGGCTCACGCCTATAATACCAGCACTTTGGAAGGCTGAGGCGGGTGGATCACTTGAGATCAGGAGTTCGAGACCAGCCTGGCCAACATGGTGAAACTCTGTCTCTACTTAAAAAAAAAAAAAAATAGGTGTGGTGGCGGGCACCTGTAGTCCCGGCTATTTGGGAGGCTGAGGCAGGACAATTGCTTGACCCTGGGAGGTGGAGGTTGCAGTAAGCCAAGGTCGCACCATTGCACTCCAGCCTGGGGGACAAAGTGAAACTCTATCTCCAAAAAAAAAAAAAAAAAATTGTATGTGGCTAGTTATTAATTGTTCATTTCACTTTCTTTGACATTTCTACTTTCACTTCACAGTGCTTTAAAAATATGACCTGTTGGATTTCTACTTTCATGAAGTTAATGGTTAATGTCATTTTTAGACCTAAAACTTTTTCTTTATTAAAAATCTTCATGTGTTTTTAAGGTTTATTTTAAGTTCCGGGGTACATGTGCCCGGCATGTAGGTTTGTTACATAGGTAAACACATGTCATGGTGGTTTGCTGCACCTATCGGCCCATCACCTAGGTGTTAAGCCCCACATGCATTAGCTATTTATTCTGACGCTCTCCCTTCCTCCCGCCCCTCTGAAAGGCCCCATTGTGTGTTGTTCCCCTCCCCATGTCCATGTGTTCTCATTGTTCAGCTCCCCTTTTAAGTGAGAACATGTGGTGTTTGATTTTCTGTTCCTGTGTTACTTTGCTGAGGATAACGGCTTCCAGATCCATCCATGTCCCTGCAAAGGACATGATCTTGTTCCTTTTGTGGCTACATAGTATTCTCTGGTGTATATGTACCACATTTTATTTATCCAGTCTATTATTGATGGCCATTTGGGTTGATTCATTGTCTTTGGTATTCTGAATAGGGCAGCAATGAACATACGTGTACATGTATCTTTATAATAGTATGATTTATATTTCTTTGAGTAGACACCCAGTAATGAGATTGCTGGGTCAAATGGTATTTCTGACACTGTGTCTTTGAGGAATTGCCACACTGTCTTCCACAATGGTTGGACTAATTAGCACTTCCACCAACAGTGTAAAAGCGATCCCATTTCTCCACAGCCTCACCAGCATCTGTTGTTTCATGACTTTATAAAAAAACAAAAATCACCATTCTGACTGGCATGAGATAGTATCTCATATTGGTTTTGACTTTCATTTCTCTAATGATCAGTGATGTTGAGCTTTTTTTCATATGTTTGTTGGCCGCATAAATGTCTCCTTTTGAAAAGTGTCTGTTCATGTCCTTTGCCCACTTTTTAATGGGGTTGTTTGTTTTTTCTTGTAAATGTCTTTAAGTTCCTTGTAGATTCTGGATATTAGACCTTTGTCAGATGGATAGAATGCAAGCATTTCCTCCCAGTCTGTAGATCATCTGTTCTCTCTGATGATAGTTTCTTTCACTGTGCAGAAGGTCTCTAGTTTAACTAGATCCCCTTTGTCAATTTTTGCTTTCGTTGTAATTGCTTTTGATATTTTTGTCATGACGTCTTTGCCCGTGCCTATGTCCTGAATGGCACTGGCTAGATTTTCTTCTAGGGTTTTTATAGTTTCAGGTTTTACATTTAAGTCTTTAATCCATCTTGAATTAATATTTGTATAAGGTGTAATAAATAAGGGGTCCGGTTTCAATTTTCTACATGTGGCTAGTCAGTTCTCACAGACTATTTAGTAAATGGGGAATCCTTACCTCATTGCTTCTTTCTGTCATGTTTGTCAAAGATCAGATGGCTGTAGATGTGCGGTCTTATTTATGAGATCTCTATTCTGTTCCATTGGCCTATGTGTCTGTTTTTGTACTGGTACCATGCTGTTTCAATGGCAAGTGCTGCAAATAGAACAAAAGGGACTGTCGCTCATTGTTGGTGGAAATATAAAACGGCCCAGGCACTTTGATAAACAATTTGGCAGTTTTGCATAAAATTAAAGATACACTTACACAGCAATCCCACTCCAGGGTATTTACCCAAGAGGAATGAAAACCTTTTTCCCAGAAAAACCTGCAAGCAAATCTTTCTTAGTTTGCTAAAAACTGGAAACATCCCAAATGCGCATTAACTGGGGAATGGATGAACAAACTGTGGTGTGTACACACAATGAAACACTACTGCACAGCAAGACAGGTTCTAAGTACTGACAACATAATATGCGTGCCACAGAATGGATGGCTCTCAAATACATTATGCTGCGTGAAAGAAGACCTACTCAAAAGTCTACATACAATGCCATTTATTTGGCTTTGTAGAAAAGGGAAAACCAGAGAGACAGAACAAATCAATCAGTGGTTCTCCTGGGCTGTAGAAGATCATCTTTAAAAGGGCATGGTGGCATTTTATGGAGGTTTGGACATGTCCAAGATCTTAATTCTTGGGTTGATCACGTGGTTGCATGCTTTTGTCAAAAGGCACAGAATCATGTCCTGAAAAAGGGAAAACGTTGCACTGTATCTCAAAACTCTGCACCTTGTTATTTTGTAACAATTTTGTCTGTAGCTAAATTGAAAGCTGAGACTAAGAAAGGCCAAGTATGGTGAAGTAAAAGAGAGGTTCTATTAGTAATAGCAAAGAGTTGGATTTCAAGCTCTGTGTTCCTTTCATTTGTTTTTAAATTTTATTTATTTATTTTTTAATTTGACCAAAAATTGTATATATTTATGGGGTACAATGGGATACTTTGAAAAGTGTACATACACATTTAGAAAGATTAACTGAAACTAA